GTGTAGTAATGTATTGCGATGTGTGTGTATGTGTGTGTGTGGTGGGGGGGGGGGCGGGTGCGTGCACATGCGCGTCCTGGCGTGTACACATGTGCGCACATTCGTGGGCACGGGCACTGGCGTGTGCGATCGTGCGTGTGCGTGCATATATGTGCGTGTGTGTGTATGTGCTGTGTGTCTGCAGTTGTGTGTGCGCGCGTCCACATGTGCATGTGGGTGTGCGGTTTCACTTAAGGGGACGTGTTGCAACACACATGGCTGTGCGCAGGGTCTGAGGGGCGGGCAGCTGATGCCCCAGCAAGGCTCATTGCATAAGGGTTAGTGGTGGTGCAATGATGGGGGCGCACAATGCCAACGTTTGCAGCCTGTCAGGCACGTGCGCAACGGCCAAGAGCCAGCCGAGGTAGTTGCGGAAATGGTCGGGCCTGCAGGGCTGCATCAGGGGGCTGCTGAATGGCTGCCCACTCTTTACATACAAGCCCACACCCTTGCGCCCCTTTTGCGCGCCCCGAACCACCCACCAGTTTGACGCCTCCGCCTGCTTCTGCCGCCCGGCCCCCGCGCGCGCCGCCACCGGCATCGACATGGCTGTCCCCAGGGACGACCTCGCCAGCGGCGCGTGGCCCGGCGCAGCCCGCCTGGTCCCGCTGCCGCGGCGCGCGGCGACGCCAGACCCCTCCGACCGCTGGGCCGCCACCCGGCCCGGCCCCAGCCGGCTGCCGCCGCGACCCGGGTGAAACAGGCCGTCCAGCAAGGGCCCGCCGAGCCCCCTGCCACGCCCCCCGCGCCCCGTGCCGCGGCCCCCACGTGCCGCCCCGCGCCCGCCGCGGCCGCGTGACGCGCCGCGGCCGCGGCGGGGTCGGCCCTCGAGGGGGGCAGACATGTCCTGGGGCAGGACCGATCCGGCGACACTCAGGCTCATGGAGTCGCCGCCTGGCCCCAGCCACATGACCGGCTGCGACTGGGGCCGGTATGCAAAGCTTTTTGAGACGAAGTCGCTGAAGCCCCGGCTGACCATGCGCGCAAAGGTGCCCTGGCCGCGCAGGCCGGCGCCGCTCGGCGCCCTCTGCGCGCCCAGGCTCGAGCTGGCGCGTGGTCCGATGCTGGTCAGAGGCTCGATCACGGAAAAGGGCTCGGTCGCATAGCTGAAGGGGCTGGCAAACGCTGACTCATTAAAAGCGACGCTCGGCCCCGACTCGAGCCTGCCAGACCCGCCCGCGCCCTGCGTCGGCGCGCCGTCACCGGAGGCAGCCGGTCCCGCAAGCGGCGCCCCGAACGGGCTGAGCAGCGTGCCATCCGAGGCAATGAACCTCGGGGACGCGTCATCGCCGCCGCCGCCGCCGCCGGGTTCTTCACTGCCTTCTTCGGGGATGGCCGCCTCCAGCCCGCCGCCGCCGGCCGGCCCCACGCGGTCGCTGACGACGCTGCCCCCCTCGGCCGGCAAGACGGCGCCGCCGCCGCCGCCGCCGCCCTCGTCGTCGTCGAAGTCCTCGTCCCGGCTGATAATCGTCGGCAGCACGTCGTTGAATCGGACGTGGTGGTCTGGCCCCTGGTGGTGGTGAGGGCGCTGGCCTGGGGCCGCCTCCGACTCGACCCCTTCCGGCACGTCCTCAAAGCGCACGCTGTGCCGCGGGCCGCCGAGCGCGCCAGGGAGGCCTGAGAGCCCTCCGCCCTGGCGCATGAGTCCGCTGTGCGCCCGGCCCATGCTGGGGCCCGCGGCGGCGGCGGCGGCGAGGCTGCTGCCCGGCCGTTCCGGGCCGCCGCGCGGTGGGTCCAGCACGCTTCCTGGCCGCAGGAGCGTGCTGCCCTGCCGCAGGCGCATGCTGCCGGGCCGCAGCAGCGCACTGCCCGGCCGCTCCAGGCCGCCCGAAGCCCGCGACCCCAGCCGCAGGAGCCCGGCAAAGCTCCGGCGCGCGCCCCGCGCGAGCGACAGCCGCGCCGAGCTCCCGCCGAGCGCGAAGAGGCTGCCGGGCCCGCGGCGGGGCGACTCGGGGCCCGCGCTGCTTGTGGTGCCGTCGTCGGTCTCGTCCAGATCATCGCCATCGTCGTCGTCCCCCTCCTCATCCTCGTCCTCGTCCCCGTCATGCTCATCCTCGAAGACCGCGCCGCGTGCATTCTCCAGCACGCTCGGCAGGCTGCCGTCCGCCGGAGCGATCCCCGCGTTTCCTGCGATTTCCTGCGCACCCGCCGCGCCGCGCGCGTGCCCGCCCTCCTCGCCCTCGTCCCCCTCCTCGATCAGCGCCGGCCCGCTGGGCAGCGAGCTGTCCAAGGTTGACTCATACACCGACATCATCGTCTCGATGCCCGGCGACGCGAAGAGCTGCTCGACCGTGATCGCGCGCGACAGCGTGGCGTGGATCGTCGGGCTGCGCGCGATCCGCCGCGGCGCGGCCCCGCCCGACCCCACCGACGCCTGCGCGTACGGCAGCCGTGCAGGGGCGGCTGAAGACGCCGCCGGCGACGGCGGCCCGCGGGGCGGGCGGCCCTGGTCGTCATCGGCGGCCGCCCCGTCGTCATCGCCGTCGTCGTCGCCGCTGCTGATGCTGGCGTCCTCAACGCGTAGCTCTGGCAGGTCGCGCGCCACGATCGAGCGCCAGGTGCCACATGCAATGAGGCGGCCGTCCCGCAGCACCGCCACGCGGTCGCAGCGTGGCAGGAATTGGACCTGGGGAGGGGGCCGGTGTGCGCGCGCGTACGTGTGTGTGTGTATGTGTGTTGAGGGGCAGCTGGCGGCCACCCCTTCCAAGCGGTCTGGCATGCACACGCATGTGTGTACGAACATACGCACGCACACACGCATACAAACTAAACTGCAAATACAAACAAACCCAGAGACCCCAAACTAACTTTGACCACCCCACCCCGCCCCACCACGCC